TTAACAATATTCAATACAAGAATATTTGCACTGATAACAAGAATGATTTGATACTAGAGTATCACATTATTCTTAACCTTGAATTATTCCATCTCCACAAATTGGATGACAATTTTCTAGAAATTCATCTTAAATCCAACCTTCTTGACAAAGTAGACATTTATCATCTATTTATTCTAAACATCCTTCTTTCAAAATCTTAAACATTATTTCTGGCTATGTATAAAATACTTCAAAATCTCTTATATAACAAACACTGTAATCAAGACAGTTAATATTTAGTGTTAATATAGGATCGTAATGGTTTTTTATTAAAATTTCTTTTAATTATAGAACGAATCTCTATTTTCTAAATTATCAACTTATTAATTATAACCATCTTAAATAGTTTATGTTCCATATAAATAGTCTATCATCATAGGTGACCAATTAGATGAAAATAATCTTATTAATATATCTTAATGAGGAGGGAGTTAAGTTTAATATGTAATTATTTCTACAAATTCTATATATTAGCAATTCCCACAAAAATTTAAAAATGTAAAAATATATTATTACAAAGTCCACCCATCAGAGTCTGTGAGTAATTTCCTATTAAATGAATATTAATGCAGTTTCCATTATTAGCAAACTACATGATAATTCTCAATGCATTCTTAACATTAATGCTAACATTAAATGATACTTAATTTTAATGATATTAATCCTCCAGATTGTTATCTAACATACATTTCAACATTTCTTCTATTGTGCTATCGAGTAATAGTAATAGTGCGTAAATATTCCTACGATGGACTACCACATATCGAACCTTAAGATATAATCTCTTACTCAAAAACTACATATTAAAGGTCTATTCTAATTTAAGGAGGAATGATGTTATCAATACTTTTGTTCTAAAGAATAATAAATACCTTAGAAATTGTGCATCCACTATAATATGAGAATGTGGTTCTAGATCTAAAAATATTCTGCTAATATAACAATTAATATTGGTAGAAAAAATATATGGAATTCCTCCACAAGTATTAAAATTTAAACTACTTTCCCATCCTAAAATAAAAATAAGGAAATTACCATCTTTTGTTTAAGATTGAGCATAAAACTCATAAATCAAAGTTTGATGAGTTTTGTAGAGCATAATTATAAGTATTATCATTTTTAATTAATATCAAATTTTTTTGAGTAAAATCATTATAATGCGATTAAATAATCAATTTAATGATTTAAAAAAATTCGAATAACTCGACGAATTTGGAATTAAATTCATTATTCTCTACCTTTTATCTACACTCTCTACAATAAATTTGTTGATAAAATATATTTATCTTAGAGGGTAACATATCAATTTATTAAGGCAACATGCTTCATTTAAATATTCTAAAGTAATAATTCTGTATTTTTGAAATGAGTACAAATTTGGCAAATGTTTCTTTCATTGAGTTCCTTGTATTTCATATCATAGAAGAATAACCATATTTACTCTACTGGATAAAATTGTTTTACTTTACTTTAAATAACTCTATTAAGATACAAAAGAAAAATTAAATTTTACATCATCAAAATGTTTTCAGTTTGGCCTTAGAATAGAAGAGTTGATAAAGCAATGAATATAAAATATTAAGTTTGTTACAATTTTTAAACACAATTACAAAATTCATCCTAACGTTACTGTTTTTGGAGGGTGGGAAATTCAATATAATAAAATTTTGAAAGCTTCAAGCTTAAGAATAACTTGATTTCATTTCTAATTGATCAGAGGCTTATTAGAAATTAAAGAACATAATTAGGAAGGCCATTTTAATTTTTGGTGAAAAGAAATAATAAGAGTTCTGAAGAACAGTCCTGAAGATGTATTTTCTAATTCCTTACCTAGTTATAAGAATAATGTGTTTTAATCAATCATAATTTTTCACCTTATGCTGATTCTAAAACAATTCAATTTGGCGAAATCATTTCAAATTCGTTGATTCATTACCTCAATTAAGTGTGTCATTATACACACTTTCCATATTCTAACCAGCTTAAATTAAATTGATACAGGGAGATTTAGCCTATATAATGCTCCATCTTTTTTACCTTAAATGAACATAAATTCGATGGAGCAAACAAAAGATTTCAATAGGTTTGAAGTAACTATTACTATAAATTATTTTAGAATACCATATCATTAGTATTAACTAGATCATTAATCTTTATTTATTCTATTTTATTTAAAAGGTTATTGATGATATAGGTTACAACTAAGCTGAATTAATCATCATTAAAGATATTATTCTAACATGAAAAAGTTATATCATTCAAGAGTTTCCAAAATTAAAAAATATTCAGAAAAACAATTTATTTATATTTTAAATAGACTAGTAATTAGTACCTCATATTATATCTTTAATTCTAAAAATATAAACTGAATTTCTCAAATAGTTAAAAAAGATTGCCATCAGTTATAATATGCTAGTTCTATCTTCATTAATATTATTTATGAAGTAAGAATATAACTAAAAAAAATTTACTTTATTTAAATCCCTTTGTGTGTATAATAATGGGAATACTTAAAACTAATTTACATCTATTAGATTTCATGTTCTCTATGAATCATAAATAAAATACGCTTTGATGAATATTGAAAAATATTTTCTAGTGCTATATCAATAATTAAAATACAATTAAGCATCTTCAATAAATACTTTATTATTTCTTTTCCATTAAAATCGCAATCTAATTAGAATATATTAAGTGACTTATTTAATTTTCTAATGAACTCAGAGTTGTAACAAAAATCAATTGTTATGATTTTTGTTATAGAAATTACTAAAATTGTAGTAGATAATGTTAAGATTAATAATTTTGATCTTTGATTCTCACATTCAGTTATAAACTAATATATTGCCTTCTATACCTTTGCCATTTTCAGGAAGTGAATAATTTGGATTGATTTACAGAACCTTTTTATAATAAGAAATTATTTCTTTAAGCTTATGATTGAAATGGTTTACAACAAATAATAAGTTAAAGCAAATTCCTAAAGAAAAGAGATATACCAAACCTTTAATGTGAAAAATGTGAGAATAATTTATATTACAGTAGAGTACTATGTTGAAAATATTAAGAGCTTCCTTATATTTACACATTTTTCCTTATTTTGACTGATATTAATGGATTATCACAAGTTACCTATATGAGATATTAGTTTAGTATTTAAAGATAAACCTTTTCAACCAATATATTTGAACCTTTATTATTATTTATCCAATATTAATTCAAATTAAAACAATATAATTAATTTAAACACTTGCCTTAGATGATTATCTATAGGTTTAATTGCTTTTTTATAAAAAATTGACTTGTTCTGAATTTTAAAGACAAAGCTTCATTAACCTATATAGTAGCACCATTGTTATTTTTTCATATAATTAACATGTTTAAATCTATATACAAAAGCTTTTCAATTAATATAATCGCATCATAGTTAGCAAAAATATTTGCAAAAGAAAATCATAATAATTAGGTTAGACATTTAGCTAATATGTTTACTTATCTTACTTATAATTTTAATTTATAAAGATTATAAATGATTTTGATATTTAATAATGGAGCATCTGATATTTATCATATTCTTTCTTGCTCCTTTTCCGTAAATTATGAAAAATTCATTTATTTCCTTGGATGAGAAATGTGATCTTCTTTTTGAAGACAATATTCAAACAAGTCAATAACCTCAATTTATTCCACAAAATATTTTACCTTAAGTTTACAATTTGACTCATAAATTAACATTATTGTTATCATTATATTTTTCAGTTATATTTATGATTTAAGTTTGAGATATTGTTTTATTTTTTAGTTAATTAAAATGGTGATGCCGTTAATTCAATCGATAAACCTAAATACCTTTATTATTAATAATATAAAATCTTACAAAAATGTGATTTCATAATATTGAGACCAGTAAAAATGAGATGATATTGAAGTGATTAAAGTAATATATAAATGACTTCTATAAGTACTTCAATATTATTATCTTATGTTCAATCAAATCATATCACTATTAGAAACAAAACTAAAATTGATGTCGAAATACTTCAATTGAATATCAATAATATAGAGACCAATTTAACATTCAGACTTCATAAATATTGATGGAAAAGACAATAATTTCAAAGAAAAAACACAACGAAATATTGACAAAAATTGAAATTTCACATCACTGAAATAATATATAATTTGAAATAAAAATAATCAAAAATGTTCATCAAAAAAAAATAAAATCAAATTTTGATTATGAAAGGAAATAATCCGAAAACTCTGAGGGCAGAAAATATCAAAGGTTTTATGGATAAGGCTTGTACAATACTAGAATAATGATGTCTCAATTCTTATTCTCCAAATGAACGATAATATCCTTGAATTACAATAAGATGATGAAAATGTGTCAGATTGTTGAAAACCAAGTTATTTCAATATACATTACCTAATTTTAGAGTAAATTACTACTGTGAGTGTGGATCTGTCTAAGTTAATTAATGATGTGATGTAACCTTTATAAAGTAAAGTATGACCACATAATGGCAAAGTCAAGTAAATTTAGTAAAAATGGACTTCTGATTTAACAATAGACCTGATAGCAAACTCATCGAACTTATAATTAACAGAATATATTTTAATAATAATGATCCTAAATGAAGTAAATAATCCAGAATAAAAAATCTGGAAAATGAATTAGAACAAAAAATTATTTTGTTTGTGAAATACTTAGCACACTAGAGTTTATCTTTGTATAACCTACTTATAAGTTAATTTTACATTAAATTCACACCCTGATATTTGAAAAGTGGGCTCTAAATAAGGTTAAAAAGAAGACTCTTGGGAATCTAGTTAATAAAGAATGGAGGACCTTAAGGGAATAAATTATCTACTTATGAAGTTTGAATTCCTATAATCAACTGTAATATTGATTGATTAGCATTCATCAGCAAAAAGAAAGATAGACAAATAATACGATGTTGGGGACTATAAACATTATTTATAATTCAGAGATTTTTCTTAAATTACCTTTAAAATTGGATAACTATGGAATAATTCTATTGTATATATTAGTTATAATCCAACTTTTCTTCTTTTAATACTTTGTTATTTACCTTTTATTCAATCGCTGATTTTTTAATTTAGTTTTGTTACAATTCGAAGAATTTGTAGTGTTATTTTATTTGCACAGAAACAACTGACTCTATTAGTTAAGGTTTTTTTGTTATATTTAAAATTTTTTATAATCTCTATTTTACTTTAAAGTAATAGAACATAGAAATTGCTTAGATGATTAATTTAATTAAATGTATTAACTATCAAGCAATTCTGGATGTCTTAATTTTTGAATTACAAAAGTGATTTAACAATTCATTATTATTTTTAATATTTATTTAATTTTAATTTCTATTAAATAAGTTTATTTTTTAAGCACATATTTAATTATCATATAAATAAGAGTGTAGAATAATTGATGATGAAAGGAATAGAGAATAGAAACCCAAAAGACTTAAAAGGAAATTAAAAAGTCCGACAAAATGTAAAACCTACATGAAAGGGACTATAAATTGTGGTAATTTTGTTAAATAAATAGATAAATAAAATTTATATTATTTCTCAATTACATTTCATCAATTTTGTATGTATATTTATGACCTTTTTTAGCTTCTCATTTAAGTAACTTAAACAGCACTTTGTAATTACATTTATTCGAAATATAAAAGTTTTTCAAAAGCAGACATAAATCACTGATTACATTGATTTCAATACCAAAAGTCTAGCCCTATATACCATATTTAAATATTCTCCAGCATCACTCATTATACCATAAATATACTAATCTACAAACTTTATAGATTTATCATTTATTTTGTCATGAATACGCCTCACAATATTTAAGTTCCATCCATATTTAGTATTTTGGAAGACCCTTTTTAGAATTGTTTTAAGATGAAAATTAAAAAAGAATTCCAGAACAAGCAGCTAAATTGTATATTGCAGAAGTGTTTACGGTCTTCATAAAAATTGCCTAATATATAAGATTTAAAACCTTATGAATGTTTTTATTGATACATAAGATCATTCTATGTTAACTGATTATGGATTAACAAAAGAAGGAGTTAGAGATAATTATGGAGCGAAAAGTTTCTGTGTCCATGGCTTATTTGGCTCCAGAAATATTGAAACGTGTAAATTTGGGAGTGCTGTTGATTGGTCTAGTACTTTCATAAATAAATGAATAGAAAAAAAATCAACTATATCATTTAGGTATTGAATTATATATATAATAATTAGGTATTCTAATCTATGAAATGATTAGTGGGAAACCTCCATATTTTTCCCCAAACAGAGATGAAATATTGAGTAATAGAATGCGATAAGATTTCATTTCCAAATTATATTTCAAAAATGAATTCAAATCAATAATTTAATCGCTTTTAGAGAACAACCCTATGACAAGATTAGAAATATTGTGGTTGTTATTAAGGAACCTCTGTCATTATGGAGTTGCATGAAGGTTATTATTATAATAAATTTTATTATAAATATTATGTCAAATTAGTGGGCGTTATATTAGAAGAACTGCCTCCATTAATAGTAGGAAATGAGCCTAAACTAAATCTGTTAAGAAGATTATGATTAGAATTTTATTACGAAGAATTTTTAGGTATTAATGATAATTTTGAAGCATTCTATTGTTATTATAATAGTTATTGGAGCTGTTTTTATTCTTAAGGAATAAATTTTTATTACTATTATTATTGATAGATAAATTAATTTGATCAATATTATTATTATTATTATACATTATCTATTAGTATTACAATCATTATTATTATTGTGATTATTAAAACATAAATTTTTGTTATTATTATGGAAACAATGAATTATTTATTGAATTGCATGATATATCTTCATCATCCTCATCATCTGGATTCCTATAAGCTTTTCTAACTACATGAGCTATTTTAATAATTGATAAAGTATTACAAATTTTTCTTGCCAGCATTAAATCTCTTTTAATGTATCTCCTAAAACTAATTATCTTGGGCTTCTTTAGTTCATTTACTCTATCAGCATATCTTAGTATATTAAAAGTATGCTTTGTACTTGATGAACATGTTTCCAATTACCTGTTAAACTATTTTTTAAACCCTGACGGTCTCATCAAAGAACAGAGTTAAATTCCTACATCATTCCTTACTACAGTTTAGTTTTTACTCCATTACTTACTTTCTTCCAAAATAAAGTACCTTTTCTCTCTTCCAGCTCCAATCTAATCATTACAATACTTGATACATGATGTTCCATAAAGAATACCTAGATTACGGATGTCATGTACAAAAAATCTAATGAAGATAATAGTCCACCCACTTTACCTTGCAAATCCTTTAAACAAGTCGGTAGATGAGTAAAGTTCCATCTTGCTATTATATTATGCTTAATTTACAGAACAAATATGATCTCTCCTTATTGTAATTAGTCT